GTAGTACAAAAAAAGGCAACTTGCATGGGCTGAGTTCTCTTGCACCGTGGTTGGAGTGTTGTCGTTTGGCTGTTCCACTGGGGTCACATCCACAATGGCAGTTCTCTGCTTAGGCGGCTTTCTCTCAGCAGTCCTCTGAAACAGCCGTGTTTCATTCACAGTTATGCTTATTTATTACTGCGAGTGCAAAATGCCGTAAGTAAAAAAATATGCTGGCGTCAAGCATATTATAGCAGTCTAGCAGTTTCTGAATTATACCACTAGCATCTTAGACAGCTATCATAGCACCACTGAGATATATAACGCAGATAGGAGCATTTCGGAAATTGAAAGAAAAAATTGGGCACTTAAAATTCAAGACCTCACGCTTTGTAACGTAATGGACATGTTTTTCCAATTCCGTTTCATTGCTTACAGTACATGGTTTTCAGAGTAAGTCTGCCAAACAATTCCTCAACCACAGCTTCTCACAGCTACATGTAGATTTTATTGTGCTCCGAGCTAATTTGTAGGGCGTCATTTTTAAAGGGACTCGGCAGATGAACTACGAAAGAAGGTAGCGCCCATTCAGGCGATTTCAGTGTCTAATAAACGTAGCATCAACTGTAGGGGTAGTTATACGAACGCTAAACGAGCGAACTGCGATGGCCGAACAGTATGCTTTTTTTTTCCGGGCCGCTATACCAAAATGCCGAGATGTCGCCTTTTCCAGGTGCTTCGGGAAAGAAAACAAGGTGGGCACGGCGTCAGGCTGTAGCCGAGTTCGTGCGCCCGTTCTGTCAAAACAGTTGTCAGTAAAGTGGTCACTGCAGAGTCTGCTACCTGGGGATGGAATCCATTTGTCCCTTCTTAAGTTTACCACCCAACGCCGGTATAAATCCGGCTTAGAGCGTGGGAACCTGCGTAACAAGAGCCACAGCTTAACAACGACACTGATATGACGTTTGCGTTTCGCTGCGTATCACGCACGTCGCACAGAATATTGTAATACTTACAAGTGGAACGTCTTCCCAGACGACTTCTCTGGTCTGCTGGTGCAGTTGACGGCGCAACAAGCAGGCATTTTTAGCGGAATGCGCGCGAAACCAGCCCATACGTAGCACGCGCTATGCTGGAACGGCGGCCATTTGTCCGACTTCCGGGACGAGCGCTCGCACTTCCGGCGGCCGCACGCCGGAGAGCTCGAAGCGCCATCCAGCACCCTAGTGGAGATCAGTGGGTTTAACGGTAACTATCTATTCTGACAAATTTTACTTTGTATTGCATTATTCAGAAAAGTACTATGTATTATGTTTTGTGTCATTACGGTTTGTGTTCCTGTTGTATTGAGTTCTTAGTCCATATGCAGTTAATATTGTATAATGAGGATTTTCTTTGCTGAAGTACTTATTTTCATGCTGTGCTTTATATCTTGTCTACTTTGTGACCAATCCCTTCTATAATGCCATATGGCCTTGAGGGTAAATAAAATGAAATGAAAATGAGATATCAGATGCTGTACTAGGAAGTGTGTGTAATGTTAATTAAAATTATAATATAGTATCTCCTATACTTTCCTCTGCATCATTGTTTTAGCTATCATTAATATTGTGCCTAATGATAAAAATGAGCCTTTAATATTTTCATTTCTTTTCTTCATGTCAGAATGTCGCATTATACAAACATATGTTATAAGCAAAAGCCCCATTTGAAGTAAAAAACTGCCTTGTTGGCCAATGCAAAGGGAGTACCAAGGGGAGGGGAAATTTTTGGGGGGCTGCAGGTTGCTGACCACCTAAAAGAGGAGTGATGCAAAAATGTGAAGGCATAGTGACCCCGGCCTGCTCAGCACTAAATGGTACAAATCGGGGTGGGCACCCTTTTGAGGTGAATAGTAATCGACTGTATGTAGAAAAGCCTGAGTAGAATTCGTGTTTATTTTCAGCACACACGTCACAAGGTTTAGGTGATGTTGCTAGAAGTAACTGCTGAAAGCAGAAAGACGAGAGTAAACGCGCCCTTCTATCGGCGCACTTCAAATCCTCACATATAACATGCACGTTTTGACACTGTCTACATTGACTACAATTTTAGGGCACGAGCTCCGTTCTGTTGTGGCAATCTCTTTAGAAATTGCCAACAAGTTCATTTCTTCAACGGCCCCGCCGCAGTGGTCTAGTGGCTAAGGTACTCGGCTGCTGACCAGCAGGTCACGGGATCGAATCCCGGCTGCGGCGGCTGCATTTCCGATGGAGGCGGAAATGTTGTAGGCCCGTGTGCTCAGATTTGGGTGCACGTTAAAGAACCCCAGGTGGTCAAAATTTTCGGAGCCCTCCACTATCGCATCTCTCATAATCATATGCTGGTTTTGAAACGTTAAACCCCACATATCAATCAATCAATCATTTGTTCAACTGGCATAGCACAACATGGTAAAGAAGAATTGGCCGAGAAAACCGTCATAAGAGGACACAGTGCTAGACCTTTTGTGTGTGTCAGTCTGCTCAGCCGTTTACTTTTATGACCAACCAACACGACGAATCTTGAACACTTGTCAACAGGTTGAGGCCACTCCCGCCATCTCAAGAGACATGCACTCCATGAGGAATGCAGGAGAAGCAGAATACAGGGACTCTCTTTTTCAGAAACAAGGGGCAGTGTACATACTGATGTGGCATAGTACCCGGAAGGGTACTATGCGTCAGTGGTGGCTTGGAGGCAGTTTGATCTCAAGCTGTAACGTTAGTCACTCTTCGCGACCAAAAACCCTGGCAACTAAAAACCCATCGACTAGAATCATTTTTACCGATTCGAAAGTCGCTGTCGAAGCTTATGATGCTGCTGCTAAAGTGTCCAAAGAAGCTGGACAAAATTCTGCGAGTAGGCAAGGAGAACGTTACCGATGATCTAATTAGGGTAATATCGGCCCACAGTTGATTCGCAGTGAAAGAGATCACCTGAAGGCTGGCGTTGCGAACCTAGACTACTCCCTGTATGTCTAGAGCACTGCAGAGTAAGTAGGAGAGCCTCCCACAAATCTTTCAAAAAAAAAAAAGTCATCTGGCAAAAGCCGCAGACCTTTCTAAACCTATATTTTATATCATGAGCAAATTGCACACTGCGGTGCACTTTTCCAAATGCAAAAATGTGAAGGCATAGTGACCCCAGCCTGCTCAGCACTAAATGGTACAAATTGGGGGGGGCAACCTTTTGAGGTGAATAGTAATCGACTGTATGTAGAAAAGCCTGAATAGAATTCGCGTTTATTTTCAGCACACACTTCACAAGGTTTAGGTGATGTTGCTAGAAGTAACTGTTATGTAAATGTGAAGAGAAGTGGATGAAAAGACAACTTGCCTCCGGCAGGGGCCAAACATGTGACCTTTGAATAAAGCGCCTGATGCTCTATGGCTGAGCTGCTCTCTCTATCATCTCTCTGTCCACTTTATAAGGTATGTATGTGCATTTAGACTGGGCCATAGCTGAGTGGTAGAGCATCAAATGGGTTATTCGAAGGTTACGTGTTTGGTCCCTGCAGACGCAAGTTATTGTTTCATCCACTTTTCTTTCTTCATACTTGCATTACAATTTCTTTTAATAAAATCTCCTATACTTTCCTCTGCATCATTGTTTTAGCTCTCAGTAATATTGTGCCTAATGATGAAAATGAGCCTTTAATCCTTTCATTTCTTTTCTTCATGTCAGAATGTTGCATTGTACAAACATATGTTATAAGCAAAAGTCCCATTTGTAGTAAAAAATTGCCTTGTTGGCCAATGCAAAGGGAGTACCAAGGGGAGGGGAAATGGTTTGGGGGCTGCAGGTTGCTGACCACCTAAAAGAGGAGTGATGGAATTCCTCCCTCCACAGCTAATGAAAAACATGTCGTTCGTCTAGCCCAGGCCGCTGCCAGCTGATTCTGGCTGACGATGTCTGGGTGGGGGAGTGGACGGGGAAATGGGAGCAGTGCGTTTTAGTAAAATGCTCTTTCTCCAGATTGGTCACATCCATTGAGATGTTACAATGGCCATTGGAGTGGTGCTCTACTCGGAAATGACTGATGAAGCTTCATCAGTAGTTCAGAAAGCTAAATTGGAAACTCTTGCAAAAAGCACTTGTTTTTCAGCTGAGAGGCACTGTCAGCACTTAAGTAACTCTGTGTATAGGGCATGTGAATCGCAAGTTTTTTGGTGCTTTGTGCATGAGAATATTTATGTGCCGAATAACATATTTATAAACATGTTGTTTTCACCTCATTTTATGAAACATAATCCCCTTGTTATATTTAAGTAAATAGACACATTCAGTTTGTTCTTACTTCAAGTTGTCAAAAGGATTGTTCGTCTAGCTTGGGCAGTTTCTCAAGTACTGTGAAGTTTGAGCGAGTGCCCCCTTCAGGGGGGAAGAACAATTTTAAATTTGGAGGGGTCTGCTTGGTCATGTGATCAAATTTGAAGATATTAATGTAACAGTTGCTAAGAATAAGGAATGCACAAACATGCTTCTAATAAAATCTGCCATGGAATGTGCATGGATTCACTATTTTCATTCGCTCTCATTGGACAAATAAAAACAGTGAATTAGGTAGTGAAAGTGGTGACTGGGGAATAGAGGCTGCACACTAAAAATTTCGTGATGATGGGAGGTTGGCGCTTGCTTAAGATTGAACTGTAATAACGCTTTTTCAACTCAGTGTCTGGGAGCATTTTGTTTTAACAAATCGCCTTCTTCCTGCAGCATGTGGTGAGATGGCATGTCCTTAGATTGAAAAAAAATTCTCGTTTTCATCTGGCAATGAGACGTCAAATTCCTGTTTTATTTTTTAAGCTTACACATATGCTATCATCATTATTGATGTCTTACAATCACCAAGTGCCTTTGACTGCGAATAACATTGGTGTGCACTTGCACGCACCAATATGCGTGCCTCTAAATGTGTGTCGGCACCTATATAAGCCTCTAAATGTTTGTCGGCACAACCGGCTTCTTTGTGAAACTAAGAGTAGCTTCTTGTCGGGCAGCTTCATTCTGCAGAAGGCAGCGGACAACGATGAGCCGGGCTTCATGTACTACTTCATGTCAGTCATCTCGGACGTGGCAGCCAACCGGTTCATCAACAGCAGTGCTATCTACTATGCGCCCAACATGTCATTCACCCCCTCGTACAAGGGCTTCTTCAACAAGACCATGCCCCTGTTTGCACCGAGGGCATACAGGTATGCGTCTAGTTCTTTCAAGCTTTCTTCCAGAATGTGTAGTAGCATTGTTTTTATTTGGCTTGTTGTCGGCCTCGTTGTCTTCTCAGACGTTGAGTGTGTCAGGTCTGTTGGCCAATGGACACCCAATTTTTTCTACTCTAGAAACCACGGAATGATCTGTATTTACGTAAATGTAGCGCAAAAAAACACAGACAAGAAAGGGCTGTTTGACTTTTCCTCCTTGCTAGGCAAAGCTTGGGATAAGCCACTGCAGCTCAAGGTTGCATCGGGGATGCAGCACAGTTTTTAAGCAATGGTGAAAATACTCGGATGATATTACCAAAACAGCGATTTGACTGAAGGATCAATACTAATGAGAAGTGCCAAAGCAAACACTGCCTAACACTGAGAAACTTATTAAGTAGACAGGAAAAAAGTGTTAGTTTCAGGGCTTGTGCGCCTTTAACACAATTTTATCAGAACTAATAGACAATGACAAATCTACCTAGTCTCCCGGATTTAGAACAGTTCTTACTTTTGTACGGTTGTCTCTTGGAAATTGAAATTCCTGTGCGTGATGTTGCTGCAGTGACAAAAACGCAGCTCAATCTGATCCAGGCATTATTAAGAACCCATCGCATTTTGTTGTAGATTAACTTAAAAGGCGCTTATCTAAATGTACTGTAGAATCTCAATGATGCGAAACCGGCAGATACGAATTTGTGAAATTCCCCGTCTAAATTTCACTATGTCCATTGGGCCAAAAGGCGGGTTGTATGATTCATGCAACCTGCCGCGTTCGTTTTGACGATTCAATTGCCGCTTCAATCGAAAGTTGAGCTCAAACGAAGGCTGAGAGCAGTGTGCTCAAAGCTTCGGAAGGACTCGCATGGCCAGCACTGTCAGAACTGGGGTTATCCTTTGCCACAACTACCGTGGACGAAACTGCGATCACTGTTCACACTATCATGTATGGCGACGACATATTTTATAGAATTTCAAAAGAGCATGTGTGTCCATTGCTTGACCAGTCAAAGAGACGCTGCTTTTCGCAAATGGTGTGGACAAAACAGCAGCAGCTGCAATCGTAAAAAGAAAGAAAAATCGCCCTTATATCTACAAAGTGAATAATGTTATAGGAGCTTGCTCGTATATGATCGAGCATCCCGCAAATCCTTTGTACACATCGGCTATATATACGTAGATTGACAACGTTGCTATACATACATTATATACACAACGTTTATTCATTTACAATTGCATGTACTATGTACATTTTGATGAACAACATGCATTTTACATACACTAGAGATGTTCTTTTGCAAAGTACAAAAAGGGCATCACTCAATGAGCCCAGGGAATCTGCCAGAGCTGTGTTGCAAGCGCACTGCACTGCTGCCTTGGCTTGTGGGTTGTACATTGTTGTACTTTATGAAAGGGAACACGCGAGCACATAGCGGCAACTGCCTGCAGCACCATCAACCGATAGATAGAGAAAGGGCATTGGCTTTTAGCGCCATCTACTGCTTAACGAAATAATGATTCATGCCCACTTGACAAGCATTGCTAGATATAACAATCCTGCTAAGGTCTGATAGCGGACAGATCCGCCAAACATGGGTGCACTTTCTTAAGCTGTCGGTTGATGGTGCTGTCAACAGCAGCGGCAGAGAGCAAACCACGCACTCACGTCTTTACCTTCATGAAGGACGACAGTGTACATGACACCGAGCGGTGACCAAGTGTGCTCACTGTGTGAGCTCCTGGCAAAGAGAAAGAAAGCGGACGTGCGGAGAAAGTTGTGTGCCACCATGAGTGATCGCGCCCCATCTAGTGAACATTCTTATAATCAACAGAAAACCAACCCCCAGGAAGACGGTGTGCCTGTGTACTCGGCCAGACCCAACACTACTGACACGCTCCTCTTTTCTTCTTTCACATTCCTTTCTATCCCCCACTACCCATTTCCCATGTGGTATTGTTGAGGTGACCTTCTCGGAGAGACACCGTTACCACAAGACACTTTTCTCTTCTCTTACCTTTCTTTCAAATCTTCTTTGAGGAGGCGTGCGCGCGGGACATCGAAAACCGCCTTCTTTGGGGGCAGTGTGCCATCTAGTGAGCATTGTTAAAATCATCGGAGAGGTAACCTTGAGCATGACTGCTGAAATGTACAGGCAACACGGCACTAACATAGGACAAGCCATCAGCTGAAGGAGCAAGCTCCTAAAACAACTTGGTTTTGAGGACACGTTTATCTGGGCATGTTCCTTTGGGCATGTTTGCTGCCAGTATATGTGGATTTAAAACGGAACTATTGTTCTCCAGAACTGCCACCCGCGAAACCGCGGTTCCAGTGATGTGATCATAAATGAGGACTACTAGTTGAGGTTACCCAACTAACAGAGTGATAAATTACAGCCAATAAAGGCATGAAGAAGGCTAGAAGCATTTTGAGCTTCCTGGCCAAAAAAATCTAGTAACGTTGTGTTCAGCTTTCAGTTGGCTTAACCCCTCAAGCAAAGCTTTGACTTGCGCTTTCCTGGCAGCCGGCTGCACTGTTCCATCCGTACTTTGTGCTTGTGCACCCATCCGAAATGCGAAATGAATGGAACAGGTGTAATAATTTTTTGCTTTATCGCCTACAAGAGAGAGTCAGCGTTTCCGAGTCCCAAGAACCCGAAGCGGTGCAACCACAGCGGCGTCATTGTGTAATTTAGCATTGCAAAGAAACAGATGTAAGTGCACCATATGCTTTAAACATTATTTGCAGCCATGTCGGGCTACAGGTGGCAGCATCATCCTTGGGAAAGTGTGGATAGGCGGTTAGAAGCGCGTATACAAATACAAGAAGGGGCATTTTGTTGCGTGCGGTCTGAGCCGATTGTCCGCAAGTAAAATGCTTTGACCGCAGTTTACTGGTAATATCTATGCTTCTTTCTACTGAATCTGCATGAAGGCTATGCAACGTTACCATTACCAGCAAGTAAAGTGCATTCTGCCTTTCAAAGGAATGCTCGTCTTAGGTGACTGACTGCGCGCTTTCGCAGTCACCTTTTGCTGTGTTGTTTGTAAGTGTTTATTTATTAGTTTGTGTTCTGCCTACCACACATTGCTTTAGCGTGACTTAACTTTTTTTCTTGTCTGCATACAAGAAAGAAAAAGAGCAAAAGAAAGAAAGAAAGTCAGTGTATCTGTGCGATGAGTTCACTACCACCAATTACACTATATGCATATGCATTTCTTTTTTCATTCATTTCACCACGAATTGTGGGACAGTTGGTAAGTTTGTGTCAGGAAAGCTTACTAGTGGCTGACAGCGCTTTGCGCTACATTGCATTCACGTATACACACATGTAAATACCTTGTAAGAGTTCAGCAGAAAGCTTTCATCGATGGATCACGTGCATGACTGTGCTACAACAAAGGTATGGTTATTTTATGGGACAAGCATGCTTTTTTGTTTTTTCAGGATTAAGGTGACCACTGCCTTCCGTAGGTCAATAACAATGCCTCGTAAACGCTCAAGACAATGCAAAAAAAAAAGATTTTAAGTGAAATTATACAACATTAAAGGTAAGGCATGCCGTCTGAATTCATTTTGAATGTCTGAACTCTTTGAAGCGTTCTTAAATCTAAGCACACAGTTGAGCATGGCAACTTTGTTGTACTGTTTACTACCGAAGTGTCACAGTTAATGCGATAGTAATGTTTCTATGTAGGTGTACCACGGCCATATGAACACAACTAAAGCTCATCGCATAATCGATAAGCTACAGTGCACCGACCAGTGCACCGATAAGTACACCGACCAAAAGTGCGCAAGTGCGTGGGTTAGAGCCTCGTTTTTTTTTGTTCACAACCGAGTCACTAAAACACTGCATTCACACATCATTTAATAGTCCTCATGTTTGGCAGGATGCCAAGGGCATTTTACAATGCGCTTGAAGTAGAAAGCGGCACCCACTCTGAAACTATTCTGGTGAGTGGACGGTGCTACGACAATAAACAATACTCTGGAAAGTTGCACTCGCCAATCTGATTACAATGGTTTAGCAGCCGAGCAAGAACAAATGCTTTCATACGTTGTTTCAGGCACATGTACAAGCAGTTACACTCGCGTTGAGATAACTGCACAAACCACCGTTTAAGAACGTGCATGACACATACCTGCCAAGTCTCCTGGATTGTCCGGGAAACTCCGTATTTCGACCGTTTTTGCCATTTGTACGGTCATCATGAAAATCATTCTGGAAATTGAAATTTTTGTGCGTGATCTGGCCACTCCAGGCGTTTTGCGAACCCACCTCACTTTATTATAAACAAATTCAGGGGGCGTTTATCTAAAGGTACAGTAGAAACTGAGTGAAACTGTGGCAGATGTGAATTCGTGAAATTCCCCAGCGAAGTTCAGCTGTGTTCATTAGGCCGAAATCGGAATGTTATGAACATTTTTTCTAATCACGGCGAGCGATATTGCCACGTTCTATTTCCCAAGTTTTTGTTATTGTCCCAAAACACCACACGATTCTCAGCGCAAACCGCGCCTGCAGTTTTCGAGAAGGTTCCGGACTGTAGTAGATCATTTCAATAAGATTACGCCCACTGTGCGAACGGTACAGATTGTTCTGGAACCTACGCCACCGCCAGCGATAACGCTAGAAAATTCGACGGCAAGAGTATAAATGCCGACACACTTCGCCGCTTGTCAGTTGTTGATCGAAGGCCGATGCTCCGTTCGCCGCTATCAGTCCGAGACTGCTGCTGTAATTGGACTTTCCGTTTACCGGGCACAGGTTCGCCCAAATAAACAGTTAAATCTCAACACGAAGTCTCCTGTCTTCGGCCACTGTCTTCGGCCACCTGACTTCTTGGGAACGATAACTACCGACGACTTCGCTGAACGACAGCGGGCCGACCCGGAACTTAAGGCCCTAATAGAATACCTCGAAGGTAGGACCGCCGAAGTCCCGAAGGTATTCAAGCGTGCACTTGCGTCGTTCTTTCTACGAAACGGTCTTCTACAAAAGAAAAACTTTTCACCGCTTCGAGCTAAGTACCTCCTTGTGGTTCCTTCAGCTCTGCGACCAGAACTCCTGCAGGCCCTGCACGACGATCCGACGGCGGGGCACCTAGGTGTTTCTCACACGCTCGCGAGGATACAAGAAAGGTACTACTGGCCACGTCTTACCACCGACGTCACTCGTTATGTGAGGACATGCCGGGACTGTCAGCGACGCAAGACACTGCCGACAAGGCCAGAGGGACTTCTGCAGCCAATTGATCCACCTTGCCGACCTTTCCAGCAGATTGGTATGGACCTACTGGGGCCGTTCCCGACATCGGCTTTCGGAAACAAGTGGATCGTGGTAGCTACCGACTACCTCACCCGCTACGCCGAGACAAAAGCCCTGCCAAAAGGCAGTGCATCCGAGGTAGCTAAGTTCTTCGTCGAAAATATTGTCCTACGTCACGGCGCCCCGGAGGTCCTTATCACCTACAGAGGAATGGCATTCACTGCCGACTTCACTCAAGCGATCTTGGCATACAGCCAAACAAACCACCGCCGGACGACAGCGTACCACCCACAGACCAACGGCCTCACAGAGCGGCTTAACAAGACGATCACCGACATGCTGTCAATGTACGTCGATGTCGAACACAAGACGTGGGACGCCATTCTTCCGTATGTGACCTTCGCATACAACACGGCGGTGCAGGAAACTACGTAGATATCTCCATACAAATTGGTCTACGGAAGGAGCCCGGCAACGACGCTTGATGCCATGTTGCCCAACGTCACCGACGAAGAAAACCTCGATGTGAGCGAGTACCTTCAACGCGCCGAAGAAGCCCGACAACTTGCGCTTCTCCGTATCAAGAATTAACAGACGACTGACCGCTACCATTAGAACCTTCGACGACGCTTCGTGGAATACCAGCCCGGTGAACGTGTTTGGGTGCGGTTGCCAATACGCCGACGTGGACTAAGTGAAAAGCTTCTGCGACGGTACTTCGGACCGTACAGGGTGGTTCGAGGTTTCGGCCCACTTGATTACGAGGTTGTCCCCGACGGCATCACGAACTCTTTATGACGCCGATCGCAACCTGAAGTCGTCCATGTCGCGTGCCTCAAGCCGTTTCATGCGCGTTAACAAACTGAAACAGTGTTTTTTTTTGTGTTATTGTTGTATCGTAACTTATTCATTGTACTTTCTTGCATTATTAATGTACGTTCCTCTTTAGTTAAAGCATCGGGACAATGCCTTTTTTTCAGAGGGGGGCAATGCCACGTTCCATTTCCCAAGTTTTTGTGATCGTCCCAAAACACCACACGATTTTCAGCGCAAACCGCGCCTGCAATTTCGAGAAGGTTCCAGACTGTAGTAGATCATTTCGATAAGATCACGCCCACTGTGCGAACAGTACAGATTGTTCTGGAACCAACGCTACCGCCAGCGATAACGCTAGAACATTCGACGACAAGAGTATAAATGCCGACGCGCTTCACTGCTTGTCAGTTGTTGATCGAAGGCCGACGCTTCGTTCGCCGCTATCAGTCCGAGACTGCTATCTGTGCGAGACTGCTGCTGTAATTGGACTTTCCGTTTACCGGGCACAGGTTCGCCCAAATAAACAGTTAAATCCCAACACGAAGTCTCCTGTCTTCGGCCACGTCACGACCCCGTGACAATATGAACTTTAGTAGCGAAACCGTCGCTACCTGCTGTGGACGAAAACACGGTAATTTTTGACGTGATCATATGTGGCGATGATGTAATTGACAGAACTCTAAAAGTGTGCGGGCAGCCAATGCTCGACGAGTCAAAGCAACGCTGCTTTTTGCAATCTCTGCAGACAAAACCGTGGCAAATGCAATCGTAGATAGCATAAAATGACTTAGGTTTGCACAATAGTTATAGCACGAGAAAAGAACGACAACAAAGGGACTAGAAGGAAACGAAGGACCCTTTGTCGTCGTTCTGTTCTCGCGTTATAACTACTGTCATGTCATAAAAACTAGCCCAAATCGTGACATTCCTTAGTTTTGGAGGCATGTGCGCAGCCAGCTTAAAAGGATTGAAAACAGAACTACTGTTTGCCGCAACCGCTGCGCTTTAAACCGCAGTTGCAGCGATGCAATAGTGAGCTACGTGCTCCGAGGGCACGCGGCTAACGCAGTGATAGATTAAAGGCAGTAAGCACGGAAAAAAAAGGCTAGAAACGTGTGGCGTTCCTGTCAAAAGAATCTAGTAGTGAGCAAAGCTTTGACCAGCACTTTTGCAGCAGCCACCTGCACTGTCCTCTTCGTTCACGTATGTCCCAGGAAGACATATCCAAGTTGCCTTGATGCAAATAGATTTTGCTACCTGTTATGATCCTTTGAGACTATCACCTTAGTGGGAAACCTTATTCAGGTGTGTTCGGCCACTCCAAGCCATTACCAGACCGCCTTGGCAATGTTTCCACTTGTCATTTAGACCGCCCCTCCCAACCATTCTGTTTTTCGAAGTGTTTTTTGTTTTCAGTTGGTGACAAAAAAATTTGGGCAAACAATTCAGCGGACCCCCCCCCCCCCCCCCCCCCGCCTCCTTTCGTTGCGGAAATATCCCGGATTCGGAATCCTTGAACTTGGCAGACGCGCACATAAAAACACGACAGGTCTAGCTAGCAAGATGACACACGGAGCAATCCACACGTGCACATTTTAGCCAGTTGCCGCGAGGCGGCGATTCTGCTTAATCTTGCTGCCAATAGTAAATGTCGTACATGTACGGCGTATTTCCTCAAAAGAATAGTGTGTCAAGTCTATGGCCCCCTGAGAGGCCAATGTATTTCATCGTTTCAGGTTAGGAGTTATATGACAGAGTGGACACTGTCAAAGTCTATGGCATCATGGCGTTTGACGTGGGGATTCGGAGGTGGCGTCGCTACCCGCATTTTCTCTCATGTCTTCTCTTGCTTACCAAATGTCTTCACGCTGTAACAGTGGTGTTTTCAGTGCTGTGAAAGTGTTATTTTGATGAAAAATGGTTTTTCTCTTGTTTTTCTCTTGTAAAGCAAAGTGTCGCATAAAGATGAGCAACGCTTCATGCTTCACTTTGCTTTACTGCTATTCCACTGCACTGTTTTTTCTCGTAGGGCTGACGACTTCAACGACCCATACCACCTGGAAGGCACATCGACGTTGAACACAATTGATGCCGTCGACCTGGGAGCCATTCCTGCAGACACCCCGAGCCGCAATTATTCGAGTGACCAGTACCGCATTAACGAGTGGTATCACCACTGGCTGCCCGACCCGACCAAGCGCCAGGACTCCAAGACAACGTACACCATTCAAATCACCCATTTCAATGGCACCAATGAGACGTTTGTGTGGCACGGGCCTCCAGGTAAGCGCCTCCGGCAGGTCGTGAGGGTTGTGCAGGCAAACCTGACCAACGCTGTCTTGCAGCTACAAGAAAATGGATGGCTGCTCAGGTATTCTGCGGGTTGTCATACGTGAGCTATAGAATGTTCTTGAAGGAGCAGCTACATTTCAATGACTTTTTTGTCCAGATAGTAAACACGGATACTTCCCCGGTTACTTCTGTAGATGTTCCACGGTTATCATGGTCTTTCTTTTTTCAGCCTACTTCTGTTTCTGAGGTGATTACTCTTTTTTCCGGCCTTCGGAACAGTCGTAGCCCCGATGCAGACGGATTAGTAATTAAACCCATTAAGTACGTACTAGATTTGATCGCTCCTGTCATCGCACACATATTTAACAAAGCTATCATGTGGCATTTTTCCAAGTAGCGTGCGAGTTGCTAGAGTGACAGTAATTCATAAAGGAGGCGACAAAAATAGCTTCTCCAACTACCGTCCAGTCTCGATATTGCCAGTTTTTTCGAAAGGCCTTGAGAAAGTTATTAATACCTGCATCGAGAGCTTTAGTAGAAGATTTAATCTCTTAACTACCTATCAATTCGGATTTAGAAAAAATCGTTCCTCAGAGGACGCACTCTTGCTCCAAAAAGAGCTCATATTAGAAAACATAAAAAACAAAACATTCACAGTAGGACTATACCTCGATTTTAGCAAAGTCTTCGATCGTGTCAATCATGATATTCTCTTACAAAAATGGAATGCTATGGATTCCAGGGAGTTGCATCACAACTTCTTCGCTACTACCTAGACGAAAGACTTCAATGTACCGAAATAGGCACTCACAGATGACGTCTCAGGCAATACTGCCTCGTGGTACTCTTGTGGAGTACCACGAGGCAGTATTTTAGGGCCAATGCTTTTCCTGTTTTGCATTAATGATGTAATACAATTAAACACCACTTATCAGTTCATCATTTACGCCGATGATTGCACTGTCTTTTTTAAAGGCCAGGAATTATGTAGCATTCAAGCTGAAGCAAGTACGTTCTGTTCGAAACTGAATGACTGGTGCAAGGCGAACAGCCTTGTATTGAATGAAGCCAAAACTAAGTGTGTTATATATCGTGCTCGTGAGCTGTAGTACCTCGGAAGCTTGTCCTAGGTCCGTTCACTGTTCGCATTAAAAAATGCGTTAAAATACTTGGCATCATCTTCAACGAGCACATGTCATGGAAGGACCAGGTAAACGCGGTTACGCTGAAATTGGCTAAGTATGTAGGGCTAATTAGCCGTCATCGACACATACTACCAGCTAAAATAAAGAGATTACTTTACGATGCGCTTTTTGATTCCCACCTATGTTACTGCTTCCTGGTATGGGGTAAAACTACAGCCCTTAATATGTCAAAACTGAGCGTGTTACAAAAGAAAATGGTTCGACTTATTTCAAATGCTCCCTTTCTAGAACACACCGCCCCTCTTTTCAAACAGCATCAAATTGTGAAAATATCAGATCTATGTACTTATCAATTGCTTTGCTGCTACAAAAAGGCAGCACTCGGGAAATCTGACACACTTCTTAAACTCGCGAACCTTACACAAAACGCAATTTCTTATCATGTCCGATATCAACCGCCTTGGCACGTTCCATTCTCACGCACACACTATAGAACACAACGCACCCGACACATCGTCCCAACAATATTAAACTATTTCGAAATGCAAGGAACAGATGTTTTATTCCACACAAAAAAAGAAATTAGAAGTATGTTCACATAACAAACTTGCCTTTTCCAATATTGTAATATTGGAGTATGCACGTGTTTCGCAAGTTATTGTGTTTTCCTTTTCCCTTCATTATTCATATGATGTGTGTACATGTATATATATATATATATATATATATATATATATATATATATATATATATATATATATATATATATGAGATCTAACAGACAGTAATGCCAAGGAATGTACAGGGGAAGTTATTAGAACCAATGAAATGTAAATAAGAAAAAAAAAAGTGGATGAAAAAATAACCAGCTGGGAGCAGGAATCGAACCTACGACCTTCGAATAACGCGTTCGATGCTCTAACCACTGAGCTACCACAGCGGCCTTCCCTCCATCCACTTTTTTTTTAGTTTGTACGTGAATTTAAAAGTAGGGGTGACAGTCAGCGCCATGGCGCTAACTGTCACTCCTACTTCTACCTGACCTGACCACCTTGCTGTCCTGACCACCTTGCTGGTATCAGATTTTAGTCTATTATATTCGAATGTCCACTGTACTAGAATCAATAGTGAACAAAGCTTAATCAATGGAACCAATAGGGTGGTCTGCCTAAAGACACCAATTGGTATGTTGTATCCGAAAGTCTCTTGTAAGCAGATTTGTCGTAACAAGGTTATACTGTGTATCTATTGCAAGGCTATTATTAATTCACTTCGTTACAACCAATATTTCGCTATACTATACACGACTTCGTGTACAGTCGAGCTCACTTATAATGAATCTGAGCCTGACGTGGCATCCGTTCGCTGTATCCCGAAGTTAGTAGTAAATTAAACACAGTTTTTAAAAAAAGTTGCGAGTGAAAACACAAGCTTTTCTGCCCGAAAAAAGTCCGTGATGCAAGTGTTTTGAAGAGCAGAAACGATAAGGCCGGTCTCGAGTTCATTTAAAATGACAGGGTGCTCGTTCGCCAAGGCCCATGACATAAGCTGCGTGAGACACTGGCTCCAAAGTTTTGTCGTTCTTGCAATCCGATTCCTCCATCGCTCTCGCCTTATACTTCATTCACAATTCCCTAATTTGTGCATGGTTCTGCAGTGTCGGCATCATCGGCCGTAATTAAACCATCGCAACAGATGTCCCACCTGCTCTCCAGGCCGGCATCGTTTAGCATACGTTTTGGTCGGGAATAGGGCCCCGGATATCGACATATTAATTTAAGAATGAAGGCGGCATATCTCCGGTCTGTTAGTTATGCCTAGCTACGGCGACGAAAAATTGGCACGCAGCGTGCTTGGTTTCGCGTGTTGGGGCGCTAATGTGCGAAATCGTTGGCCGCTGCTACTGCTGTTTCGAGCAGTCAGTGCGTGGCGAGCATGCTGGTGTCCGCTACCGATGCGCGAGATTCACAGTTCTAAAGAGCCAGCGGCTGGTGTGATATATTGCTTGCGACAAAACCCATTACGGCTTCTTCGCTTTTGCACATTTGCTGGCGTGACGGTCTCGCCCGCCAAGTCGGGGTGGAGTTAGGCCTAGCCACGACTTCGAGCAAAAAGCGCGACTGCGATGTGCATGGCTGCGGTGCCTGACGTGTCAAAGTACGACATGTTCGAGTGGCAGTACAAAAGATCTGTCCCACGGTTGTTTTTGTCACAAGGTTCGAAGCGCTGATAAGCCGAACCTTTTCACCAACGAATCAACGCTATGACAGTAGGTTCAAGACGCGTGCGTGCGATGTTTGCGACAAGTGCGGCACGTGATCATAATCTGAAGACTGAGCTTCCACTTGCGTTTAACAACCCCTGAACACAGAAGGAGCGCAAAAATGTCATTAAGTAGTGTCATCTTAAGCAGCCGTGACCTCGCGACACACAAGAAGCAGAAGCAGATGACGCTGTTTCGTAGGTGTGTCCGGAACGAGCGTTGAACTAGCGAGGCGTACTGGAGCAGTATGGTAGAAGGAGCCAATCGGAATCCTCCAAAGGAGTTTCAAACATGTGATTTTTGAACAGGGAATGCTCTTTACAAAATACTTTTACGACGAGCCCTTAATGGTGGTGGGCAGTTTTGTCGTCGTGAAGCTATAAATTTTTTAGAAACATCATTTTTTTTTGTGGCTTTCACTATGACTTTCACCAAGACGCAAAAATCTTTTTACAGCACTGCTACATAGTTTTCAGAAAACATATTTTGGAATCAAATAGAAAACAGGCTGCAGACACTCTAGAATGATTTCCGAAAAATCCACTTTTGTATGCCCCATTGAGAATAAATTTGACATGACTCGTGATTCTCTCTGGTTATAACAGACCCATTCGGTGTTTCCATAAAAGTTTGTTGGAACAGTACTTGGATTTTACATACTCCTCTTACAATATGTGTCTGGTTAACCTCCCTGCCTTCTCGCTTGTTGTTCTTGTGCTTCCTTCCTTTTACAACAGCCCATAATCCTCTTCACTATGAAAGTCTGTTGCAGAATGGGCCCCTCCATTCCAAGTCTATTCCGGGGAATCGCAACTTGGCGTTATTTCATTTTTTTCCCCCCATTCCTCGTAATGAAAAAACTTACCCCGTTCCCACTCCAAGAATGGCCAGGCAGGTCAATTTTAATTCCTACAATTTCTCAATGTAGAAAAGGCATATCTTGATTGCTTTATCGAGCTAAGAATAATGGTAAAAACGTAAAGCTGATGTCATCAGATGCATAAAAACTGCAAAACTCTGCTACGCTACCTTGGACGAGTGATATTGGCATGGGGACTTATCACGTGTTTTACACCCACACTACTAGTTCCCATAGGGGCAGTTCACCTATAGTACTTGCATGTTCAGCAAAATCTTTTATAAGAAGTTGGTAAACAGTTAGAAACGCGTACGTTTACTTGTTTCGACTCTACTTTACTCCTTCCCAGCTAGTATACCTTGATACTTTTGCCATTGCTAACCAGGAGTGATTTCTTGGTCTTTTTAACCAGGTAACAACTAAGGCACATGCATTGCCTCATCTCTCATAAACACCACCGTATATCTTGCAGTAATCGTGACACCCTTGTAACAAATTTAGAGGAATCTTTATTTTGTTGATTACTCTAAAGTAAATATTTCGTTCTAAGTGATGGCACACATACATAAAAGGGCAGACAATGATGTGTGCAAAGCGTCCATTATTTTTCTAAATTCTATGGCTGCTAATCAGTACACTGTATGCTATTCCAAAGTAGGAGCATAAATAGCCTTAAGACGACTGCCTTAAGCATAAATAGCCTTAAGGATACTGGCAAAGTCTT